AAGTAATACCTTTGTTATTGTATTAATTGCGTTTGCAGTTGTAATAAACAAAAGAAGAGATTTTTAAGTTATAATATGTATAACATCCTCTATATATGTTCTTAAAACTTTTCTTTGTTTTTTAGTTTTTCTTTAGTCGTTTTCCAAATTTCGTTGGCATTTTTTTGGCACAATTGTGCTGGCAAATTAATATGACAGCTTTTATATGCCATGAACAGCTGATGATGCAATCTTTAACAACACTGACAACAGCAATGTGTACACACAGTCGAGGGATTCCCCGAAACATAAACCTAGGAAAGCAAAAATTAAAGTAACGTAAAATACAATAAAAGGATTTCCCGTACAACATAAACGACAGGGGTTGCCAATTAATCCCCCCGTTTTTGTATTAAAATAAAAAATGTTACGTAACGCGTTGTTTAAATAACCCCCTCCCGCCCATGTAACGCACTGTAACGTTTCAAAAGACTCCCCCCTCCCCCCCAAATTGCGTTACGTAATACTTGAACGCTCCATTAGGGAAAAATTTAGAGTAATTTTTTTCTATTGTTAGTGTTTTTTGTGCTAACGTAGAATAAGGCGAAAGATAAATTTTTTGAAAAGATTTTTAACTTGTTACGCCAAAGAAGTATAACTTCTAGCACGGGTACATAAGTACACACATGTTTTTTTTTATGTAATAGGAGGCAAACGGTTAGGAAGCTTATCTGATGTTAAGTGATACCGCCGTCCATAGACTATCACATTGCCAAATGGCTCGCAAGTGTGCTGCCGGCCTTTTAAGAGCTGATACGAAGCCAGTTAATAATGGACTTTAAGTGTTTGAAATTGAATTTTAGATCACCCATTCAATAGAAGAAGTATATCTTCCCTCTTCGTGTTTCCTTCTAATTAGACTTGACGCGGAACGGATCCGACTTCTATGTCTCGAAGTCAACGTCCACTCTATCATTTATTCGTGAGTATCATTAATATAATGTAATTATGTCAAACGTTTGAAAACTGTTTTACTAAATATTTTTGATTCTGAACTTAGGCCAAATAATGAATGTGATCCGGCTAAAACGATTGTGAGGAAATCGCATTGATCTGGTCAGGTGCCTTCTTAAGTTCTCATGTTATTATCACACGTGTATATACTTTATAACATAGTTTCATGTGATTGTCCTCATTTGAGAGAATATGATGTTTGCGAGCTAAAATAAAACGCATTCCAAGATAATTTCGTGATTTAAAATTTTCAAAATACCAAAATCTGATGTATTAACATATGTCGCTATATCGAAAAAAGTATTATACGACTGCTTTGAGGAAACCGATATGTCTTAGACCCAAAAAGTTGACGGCGTGTGTCAGGCACTGGAGGCTGATCACCTACTTGCCTATTAGAGGTTGTAGCGCCACTGATAAATTTTTTTAGTAAATAAAAATTAATCATTATAAGGGGAATAATTTGAAGCCATGCAGGCTAATTTAATAATTTATTAAAATGTCTTAATAAAACAATGTGTACCTAGAAAATGCAGGTCTAGGCTTAAATTAATTTAAATTAATTTTTTTTTAATTTTTTTTAAATTTTCTAATTTAAACTTAGGAACAACTGATATGATAGATTTTGTTACGTGTACTATTAATAGAATAATTTTTAAGTTACCTAGCAATCAGAACTGTTCGATAATTAAAACTTTGCCATTGTAATTAATAATGCAAAGAATAAAAATAGATTTTAGTTGGATTTTATAAGATGTTGGAAGATTTGAGAGCTAACTGACAATGTCAGTCTGACATTTCAAAATGGCGACGGTAGTACCAATTTCAGCCGCCGTTAAAGAAAAGTATGTGGCACTGTAACAATTTTAACGCATTGCATTATTAGTAATGTTTTATTTCTATTGAAGTTGAAACGAAAACTTTAAAAACTCGTTCGAAATTTTAAATACGATATGATAAGGAATTTTCTTTTTCAGTATCTGCACGTCGAAGTTAAAAATAAAGCAGGGTAATATCGAGCCGGTGTCGGAATGGGCGATAAAAGTTTTCGCCGAACCAACCAAACACTGCTTGTGGTTGAATATGGCGTTACAGCAGTTGGCGAGACAACTACCCGCAGTCATTGTTAAAGGATTGCCCAGAGTTAGCCGAGCGGTTATTGCGTGTGACGACACTGCGAGTAAGGCGAGGTGAGATGTTAATAGATCATTAATCGGACGTCGAGGCAGAATACGAAATTCCACCCGTATCACCTCGACGTCCGTTGTTTCACAACTGAGCGTTTTTTGCCGTGCACCTATGTGCTCCCCTTTTATTTTCCGTACCTATTAAAGCTAGCTAGTCCTTAAAGAGAAGAGCCTACCAATTCTAAAAAGGCCGACAACACACTTGCGAGCTTTCTAGTATTGAGAGTGTCCAGGGGCGGTATCACTTAATAACAGATGAGCCTCCTGCCCGTTTGAATAAAAAAAAAGTATAACGAAACGTCAGCTTAGCAGAAACTATACTTTAAAATTTGAATCAGAACTTTGTTAGAGAATGTAATTTCTAGCAAAATACACATCACCATCATATATTACGCTCGCAGTTAATTAATATATTAAATGTATATAAAATTACGCAATATATACTTTCACAGATATAAACTATGCGTGGAAGGGGACGGCTTGCGGGACGTCATTGCTACGTACGGCGTTGATGGTAGAAAGACGTCGTCTAATAATATTCTGGAGGTAAGTTTATTAAACATTAAATTATAGGAATCGTCTTGACTTTTCACGAACGGTAAAGTACGAAATCTTGAATAGACATACCGGTATGTCTTAGACCGTGTCGACGAAATAAATATCTGAGGCCTAGGCCTAGGTTTGTAGCACCACTGGGTTTTTTAAATACCCACATTTAAGTAAGATGCCACGTCGGACTCGAAATTTTTGAAAATAAACATAAAAGATGTCTTTGGACCGATTTTGACACCAATTACTGAATCGATCTAACTCTAAATCTAAATCTCAACTTTCTATGTGCGCATTTAGAATTCGCTCGAAAGGAGAAGGAAAACATCGTGAGGAAACCGGCTTGCCTTAGACTTAAAAAGTCGGTGTATGTCGGGCACAGGGGGCTGATCATCTACTTGCCATAGATTGACAAATGATGATGAAACATATTCAAAAATTTGAGGCACAGACCTAAAAGGTTGTAGCGCCACTGAATAATTTTTCATACTTCATCAGGAGCAAAATGGAATGATGTTATAAACACGTCGTGATTAATTTGCAATAACATAAACTAAACTGACTTAGATACTTAATTTAAATCGTTTTAATAGGTATTTCAAACCTTGGGGATCGAAGCCGCAGTATCCACCATCATCAGCGAAATACAGGGTGTGATGGCAGGTCACGGGATGTCCGTAGACAGGCGGCACGTGGCTCTTCTCGCGGCACAGATGTGCGCGAGGGGAGAAGTCCTAGGGATCACCAGATACGGTCTCGCTAAGATGAAGGACTCCGTGCTCAATTTGGCTAGTGTAAGTTTTGTGGTTTCCATGGCAACGACTAAATAATGTAAATTAAAAAAAAATATTAATCACAACTTAAGATTTAAGAACTGTGTATAAGAAATATTTGTGAAATAAATACAAAAATGTCTGCTCCATTAATTTTTAATGTATATGCAACGAAGTGTTAATAAATAAATAAATAAATAAATAAAATAAAAAGTGTGTACAGATACCGGCAAACTTCTTAAGCATTAAACAAGGGTTTGGAGGAAAGTTTGCGCAAGACAGAGTTTGCAGGACAGAAACGTAACGTAACGTACCTAAAAATCGTTTCTGCGCAGGCAAGGACATTTGTTAAAGATGTTTGCCGGTATCTGTACACGAAACTGATTTCGTAAATGTAAGCAAATTTTAATAAGAAAAATATTCTAGTTCGAGAAAACAGCAGATCACCTCTTCGACGCAGCATACTACGGTCAGAGGGACAGCATCGAGGGTGTCTCCGAATGCATCATTCTCGGTGTTCCCGCTGCTATCGGAACGGGATTGCTGCAATTGCTGCACAAGCACGAGCAGCAACAGACGCGGACCAAGGAATTGCTGTTTGATTCTCCAGATTTACATACGTCCATTTGGGAGTAGACGCTGGTGTTATTTTGACTACGATGAAGACTTTATCAGTTTAAAAAATTGCGACGTTACGTTAAGATTAAATGATTATAATTTATTTGTATTTTATTTATTATAATATTTATATATGTATATAATTCTACGGCACGTGTATATGTCACTGAACTCCTCTTAAACGGCTGGACCGATTTGAATGAATATTTTTGTATGCGTTTGGCGCCCTGGATGGTTTAGAATCACAAATCAGCCCGGCAGATGGCGCTGCAGTGGGTTTCTAGGTTATTTATCTGTACAGTAAATAAACAGCTGGTAAATATATAAATCTTCTGTGCATGTGTTCGTAAATAACTCTTAAACGGTTGGACCGATTTTGATATAACTTCATGAGTGTTCAAGTGCAGTCGAGAATGATATTATATATTATTTTTTTTCCTCCATACTTGGTTTTTTTCTTGTACTACTATCACAGGTCAATCTCACGAAGTTTTAAGCACTATAATAAAACAAGTAAATAGTCTTATAATTTTATTTCACTAAAAACTACCCTAAGATATCTTAATAACCATACAAATGCAGGGCTAACTGAACATTTAAAAACATCTTGTCTCTGGTTTTACATCGAAATTATGAACGATTAGGACTCCAATGCCTTCTGAAGAGTTAACTTAAAATATTAACCCATGAACTGGGTTCGGCTTCAAATCAGATTCCCGATAAATGTATGCAGTACTACTTCTGAAGAGGCACCATTGTGGACATGCCGAATTTCTCAGTAAGGAACCAAAATTTCGACAAAATTGTTGGCGCCATATTTTTTATTAATAAATGTAATCTATAAATGCTCAGTTATATTAAATACTAAGTTTAAAGTTATTTAGGCGGCAAAAGCTTTTTGTAACAAAGCCTTGTGGTGGTAAGCTTTTGTCCATTTCTCGCTAACTTTCCACAACCAAATTGCTGACTCGTAATCTTCGCCCTTTTCTGTTAACTTTCCAGGCTTCATGTCACTGCAAAAAAATATATTTCAGGGTATAAAAATAACAAAGGAAAATCAACACTTATTACATGACCGTATCTAATAACTCGTTCATAATTGTCTTATATATATACAAATAGGGAACCTATTTTAATAATTGACTCGAAAGAAAGTCGTGTAAAATACTGTGATCATACAGTTGTATTATCAAAGGGAATACGCTAGAAGCTTACCTTTTTTTTAAAACTGAAATGTTTTTCCTACTTTGAAGATTTCTGTCTAAATCAAAGACAATGTCATGTAGTTACAACTACTGCCACTAGAGATGGTGCTGAACTAACTAACACTGAGATTATCAATAATACTTACACAAAATAATCGCCCTTGCAATTTTGCAACTTCGGCTCCAGTGCAGCATGAAGAATGGTTTGAGCACCAACTCGAGGTTTCTTCATCATGGGCCAAAATAGCGGATAAATGATAAACCTGGTCAAACTCTTACTCATGGCGAGGTTACGGGTCAAATTCGTATCGGTTAGGCCCGGGTCAACAGCTAACACAGCGATATCCGCCTCTAAGGAAGAAATAAAAATAACTTCTTTAATATCCACGAAAGAGCAAGAATTTGTAAAAAAGTTTGGCTTGCAGCTAGAATTTCCAGAGGTCAATTGAAAATAAATTCATTTAACCTGGGAACATAAGGTATGAATTTGTTACAATTAGCGCTAAGTTTGATTTCCGTCCGTCAAAATTTTTTTGACATTTGACTCGTTACTGAATTATAAATTTATTTTTCTTATGTAAAGTTCGCCGTGTATATAAAACAAAATGAACAATAATTATGACATTCAAATGTAACCATTTGGAAAGACTGTTTCAGAGTCTTTCAATGAGTCGAAATGTTCTAGCCAAATGAAAATTTATTGTCTTTGGTATACATCAGCATTTCCATAAAACCTACTTACATAATATATCGTGTGCTTTGTGGCATCCTAATTTAATTATTTGATATATGTAGGAAGCAAAAAGCTAATAAAGTCAACATTTTTGACCATTAGAATTGTTACTCGTTGCTCTGTAAAGAGATTTTGTTGAAATAAAAGAGTTAAGAACGTATAACAACCTAGCATCCGTCTTCCAAGTTCCCTGGAGAACAGTACATTAGCTAATTTGCTCTGATTGTAGGCTGCGTGTGCGTCGTAATTCTTGCTAAAATTCAAGTCTTCTTTATTGATATCTCCGCGGCTGTATGCGCTACAGGTCACTGTAATTACTCTACTGGGGGTTGATGCCTGTAAATAAGTAAATTTAATTAAATAATTGTATATGAGCAAGTACTTTTTAATTATAAATATATAGTATAATATATAATATCCCTACTAGAGGTCAACTAGTAAGTAGTATCAGACCAGTGGATTAGCTAGCGACTTACAAAAAATCTTTTTCTAAGGGAGTAATTTATTTTTATCGGCACAGACAGAAATGATATCACATGGGAACTGGTATGGTTCTCCAATTATTATTTTCGTAATTGCGTAATACAAATAGCAGCCGAACAACCTTAGAGGTTGAGAATCACACGCCACCATCAAGTTAATACTGCTGAAGTGGTCTCTGGCAAAATGACCAGCGCTGTGGAACAGTATGCTCCACAGCTTAATGCTGAGCCAGGGCCAATTACAATCACAACACACACACATTACACACTTAAAAACTACCTTATTCATTTTTTTTAAATATCTTTTTGTTATTTTTCTTTTTTGATCATTATTATAATTTTGCGTGCTTCGTTAGTAAGAAATGTTATGTCTTTGTCTAAGTATTAGCATATTTACATAAAAAACATACCTTAAGTGTGTCAATAAGTAAATGTGTGAGAAGAAAATGTCCCATATGATTAACACCTAACTGCGTCTCAAAGCCATCTTTAGTGATACCTTGAGGTGGCTCCATCACCGCCGCGTTATTTACCAATACGTGAACATGGGGTTCTTCTGACTTAAACCTAAAAAAAATTACTTATGTGAATGTGGCAATACAGCTGGACAAGTTGGTGTTGGATTAGTTATATATTTATAAAAGCTTGCCAACTTTCGGCACACTGATACATTGGTACAAGAAAAATAAAATACAATATTTAATGTGACAATCATTTCTAGGAAAATATTACGAAAAGAAAAAAAAATATACCTACCGTTCAACGAAGTTCCTGATGGAATTGGTATCAGCGAGATCACAGGGTCGGCAGTAAACGTATTTGTTGCCAGTCTCTAGTACAATTTCTTTGCGCGCTGCTTCACAACGAGCCATGTCGCGACAAGCCATGAACACCTGAAAGTATAGAGAAAAAAATGCAGACATTTTTGTGTTTCTACAACTTTTCGTGAAATTTCGTGAACTTTTCCTTATAGATTGTACTATTTTGTAACATCAATTTTATTGTAATCAAATATAAAATGGTAATTTTGGGACATCTATTACCTTTTTAAAAGAGTTATTGTCGGTTCATCTCGCCCTACGCTCTTGATTGTCTGTAATCTTTTTTATTAAAGCTCATGCGAACTAGTGCATTACTGTTAGTGCACGTTAGTATTACGCGCTAAACCGTGAAAAATATCGAACACAAGAACAGAGTGTCTTCCCCTTAATAGAGACTGTAAGTAGTGTTATTGGACACTTTCTTATGTTAAATATTCTTTTTAGTAGTTTTAAATTACTTATTAGTCTTAAGTTAGGCTAGATCGTAATGTTCCATGATGTCTTTAGTAATGACGAAGCACAATGTTCACTTCATAGTGTTATTTATATGAATTAATGATATTTTGGTTTTATTTAATTAGTTGTTTTAATTCATTATTATTTAATTCTTCTGACGTCATATCAGATTATCCTAATCACTTCTACCAGCTTGCGTTATATTTGTTTAATTAAAGGCAGACCTTAGCTCCTCGTTTAGCAAATTCCCATGTAGCTTCTCTTCCTATCCCATCATTGGCGCCAGTTATGATAATCGTCTTTCCTTCCGCGGATGCTTCTTTTTCGTACGCTGGTCCACCGTACATGTCTCTGAAATTGATAAATTTGATCTTAATTTAGTAATGCAAGAGGTCTATAGGATGGCGATGAGTGCTTAGATCAGATATCTCTATCTGTTTCATGATCATTTGTCAATATAACAGGCAAGTAGGTGATCAGCCTGCGGTGTCTGACACACGCCAACGACTTTATGGGTCTAAGGCAAGCCTCATGATGTTTTCCTTCACCGTACCAGAGAATGTTAAATGCGCACAAAGAAAGAAAGTCCATTAGTGTACAACCGGGAATCGAACCTATGACCTGATGGATGAGAGTCAACACTGCTCTAACTCTTTTAACTCTCTTCTAAGCTCTTTTTAAACATATAGTATATTCAATTCATAGAAAATTGTTTTTATCCAAAACGTGCAACTGACGCTGAAGAAGGAAGAAAATTACGTACAGATATTTAACATACAAGAAAGTTTAATTAAAGGTAACGGATATAAACACCAATTTATTTTAATTTACGATTGGTTTCCATATATTTCCTCATTTCTGATTCTTTCGTTTGAATGTCGAATCGTCGACGACCAATCTCTTTCGTTTCATATTCGTATCGTAGAGATGTGGGGTCACTCTGCATCTTCTACCACATTTACCATGGAGCGTGTTCAGAGGAGTAATTTGGATTAATACCTGCAACTGAGTTTCATCATCGGACGCCGAGGCAGAAAGGAAATTCCACTCGTATCACCTCGACGTCCGTCGTTCCACAACTGAGCATTTTTTAAGGCAGTTTTTGCTGCACACCACTATGTGGAATCAGCTGCCCACTGAAGTGTTTCGTTCAAGAAATGAGCGTACCAATTCTTTAAAGGTCGGCAACGCACTCGCGAGCCCTCTGCCATTGAGTGTCCATGGGCGGCGGTATCACCAGATGAGCCTCCTGGCTGTTTGCCCCTGTTCTAAAAAAATAAATAAAGGTACTCGTGAAAACTAAAGACGATATTAAAAAACAGTTTATTCATACTTACTTAAACAAACTAACAAGCCCAGCGGTGGCTGCTACGCCCGTAATAACTGTGATCGGTAAATTTGGAATCCACATTCTCCTGAAACAATTTTATCGCTTAGAGAAATATATTATGAATCAATCTTAATTTCAATAGGTCTTACCTTAATATGTTGCCACATAATATACTATGAATTATAGAGCAGAAAAGAATTAAATCTAATATTAATACGACAGTTTGTTTCTCCTGCTTTAGGCAAAGTTCGTTAAGTTCAAAAAACAAGTACATCATTACTAAATCACGAATATCGGCAAAACTTATCTATCGATCAGCTGACCTGAAAGTCATGCGGTCGAACCCTAGCCGTGTATCAATACATAATTAAATGAAAAGTGCTTCATTGCGTTTCGATCTGTATTTGTTAGTTGTCGGGAAACTACCATAATCCGCACTGGCGATAAAACATCAATTTTTGCCAACTAAAATTTATATATTAAGTAATAAAGTTGAATGAAAACTCTTGACGAAATTATTGAATGATTTGCGTTAACTAAGCTGCATATTATTGGAGCCTTGTTGTATGGTAAAAAAATATAAACGATTTTAAAACAAATGGTGACTTTCACCAGTATAATAATCGAAACATAACTAATTTAAGCGTTCGACCAATAAGGCTCCAGAAGACAAACCACTACTTATATGGAAATAGTATTCGTTTTTACAACTAATTCCCAAGCGAAATTATAGTATTATCACAATTTAAAGGTCTCGGTTAAACGTAAATTAATCAATAATAATTAATAATATAAATAATAATTTAAATAATAATATAAATTTTACGACTATTTAAATGATCCTAATCCTTGGGATTGATTTGCCAGTTCAACAATTTGTATGACTAAGAATTTAGCGATTACATAGAGTGGCAGAAAGTTTCTTGCCAGTTCTTCTAGTCCGCTCTACAGTAACAAAAAATTAAATTTAGAATTATTTTAACTTCATTTCTGACGTTCATAAGACGTGTACTTGCTTACCTATATGAATGAAGTTATTTTGACTTTCACTATAGAAAGATTTGCGTTGAAAGATTTGCGTTAATTCAAATGTTAATGCCAGTAAATAATACTCCAAAAATCTTTTACATTTTATATTCAGATTTACGTTAACAATTGTTAGTTAGTTCTGACATGTACAGTGCTTTATGCGTATTCGTTCACCCTTTTACCGTTTAATAAACAGATATATTAAAAAACTTATTAATACAAATGTTTTCATTTTAAAATATGTATAAATTATATTTTTTTTATAATTGTAGCACTATTGATAACATAGATAATACTGAAGTGACATAATATAGCTTAAATAAATGCACGAGGTTCGTTTTTTACCCACTTTTTTATATAAATATTATTTATATTTTAATACATAATATAGATATCACATGTGCCTTGCCAAATGTATGTGCACCAATATTTAAATAATACTTTACGAAATTAATCTCGATAGTGTATGTAAATGAGGTGGTTTATGTTTCGTAAAAAAGAATTTCAATGTGTTAATAGTACAAAACAACATTATATAAAAAGAATTTGTACAGAATTAATGAGATTTCCAATTACAAACATTTCGATATTTTCATAATAAATAAATTATTGTGTCAAAAATAACATTAAATGATATAAGATCTAATTAAAGCGGTTTATTAAAAGATTTTAAATTAATATTAACAGTAATATTGTCGTTTTCTGCGAAACATTGTCAATAAGAAAATGAGTATTGAATACAACGAAAATTATTAGTTAACTCTATTCACATAAGGGTCCATTCTTTCTATTCTATATTCTATTTAGTCTATACTCGTATGCTATGGCAAGAATTTAGTTTAACGTGGAAGATTTCTTTTAACAAGGTAGCTTTTTGATTTTTGATTCGTTAAGCGGTATTACCGGTAAAACTTAATTAAATTACTTGATTATAAATTCATGATGCCCGATCATTCTGTACATTACTTTCATTGGGCTAAGAGTTTAAGAATATAGGCCTAATCATTAAATACCTATGATAATTTTGATGTTTTTATTTTAAAAACAAGTTATTTCATAATTGCTCCCTTAGGTTAATTAATGCCTACAAAATTGGTACTAGTGATAAATCTAGGGTACAAGAGGCACATTGAATCTAATTAATTAAAATACATGCAAAGAGTATAGATATACAAATGAAATTAAACAAAAATCAAAATATGTTTTACTAAACTTTTGTAAGAGAAAAGTCCCTGTTTATTATTACTATAGATTTTAATTAGGATAAATATACCTCTAAAGTACCAAAGAATTGTAGTCTATATGATGCTAAGTTCTATATCTAATCTTAAATAAACTTGGTGTTTTAATAATAGTTCAGACATAGTTCCACACATCTAATAGCTAAAATGTCATGTCAAAACATATTTCTTAACAAAATTAACTTTGTTTAAGTGTAGAAAACCATGATTGTACATTTGTTACTTTACTTCTCTATTATTGTATAATTTATTTTACAAATAAACATTTTTATAACTAAATTAAAACATTAGTTTCACAAAAATAACATTATTAGTAAATTAATCTGTTTTGTACATAAACTTACCTACAAGTGAAAATATAACATATAAGCATTAAAATTGTGCATTATAAAAGGATGTGATCTAAATATTTAATTACCTAATAAAGCGTAGGTTATTATTGTATTACAAGTGTAAGGCTCGAATTGATATATCAATTTTGAGCATTCCTAATTCCCTAGGATTAGAAAACAATTTAAACGGGCCCTAGTGAGACCAACGTATCTGCCCCTTAATCACGTTCTAAACGCTGGATAAAAAAATAGCTAAGCGTAAAATAGATATGGTTTTGACTAGTTCTAACACAGTAGAATTTATGAGATTAACTCGAATTTCCAGTTAGGTTTGTGGTGCTCTTTGACTTTGAAGTTTCGTGTGAGGGCAGAGGTCTAGCTATTCCAACACGAACTACACCTCGCGGCGCGCCTTTTAAAGCTTGTACAGCTTGGTCTAAAGTAGCATTTTTAATTGTACCACCATTCACAGACATAACTCTATCACCAGGTGAAATTTGACCATTTTTCTCAGCAACCCCTCCAGGAACCAAGCTTCTAACAACAATAACTGTTCCATTAGGATCAATAGGGTCTTGGTAATCAAGAATTGAGAAACCTAGGCCTTGATCCCCTTTTACCAATTCAACTATATCTTCTTTACTTTGCCACATTGCTAGACCAGAAACACACTCAAGAGATTTTGATTTTTTTGATTCTGTTGGATTTGTCAATGTTGCAGTACTCGAAGTATTTATTGATGAGTCAGATTGAGCTTTTACAAGTGTTGTCAAGTTATTTAAGCTTCCAGATATAATTTTCCTAGCCTCAAAACCTTCTCTGTCTTGCGACAAGTTTATTACTGGCCTAGGACCACTGTCTATGCTGCTTCGTGCACAAACTAAGCGCACACGGTTTGGAAGTTGTTTTAGTATATTAACAACTTCAGTGTGTGTTAGACCATGTAATCTATATTGGTTAGCTTCAAGTAATTCGTCTCCAGCTATAAATGTTCCCTGTTGTCCTACAGGACCTTCAGGTAGAACTGATCGAATGTAATGGTGTGGGCGGACTTCTAAACCTCCTTCAACATCAACTGTACCTTCAAGACTTATTCCTAGCCCAGAAAGTTTATTAACCTCAGCAATGAATATCTCTTTATCTGGGCCTACTTCAGACTCCCATCTCTGTTTAATTTCTTCAGTATCAACATTAAGTATTTCATCTAGTCTTCTATCTAATTCTTCTTGTGAGGGCTCCTGAATATCATCTGCAACCTCTAAAACACTAGAGTCAATTGTAGTATTAGATTCAGGTTCAGGCTCTATTTCAGTAACACTATTATCAACTTGGGAAGGCACTGGAAACCAAGTAAGGGTTGTGGCTGATGGGGACGGGGAAGCTGGCCGTTCTTCATTAAAAATAGCAAGTTGTAGGTGTTCAAATTTAGGACCCCGTAGATATCTCTCTAAAACAAGATGTACAGATATCCCTGTATTCCTCAATATATCGACAGCCTGCGGGTTACTCTTATCAGTCAAAGTGACACCATCCACTTCAATTATTCTATCATTGATTTTAATCTTACCACTCTGCTCAGCACTGCTACCTTCAATTATGCTTTTAACAAATATTCCAGATAGTTCTTCTTTTTCACAAACATATCCTGCAACAGTTATCCCCAATCCATAGACATTTTTATTAAGATCCACATGAATAGTTTCAACTTCTGGTAAGACTGGTAGTTCTACTGGGACTGTAATAGTAATTGTAGGAGATACAGAGTCGGCTATGATAGGAAGAACAGGTATTGTTTGTGGATTATCAGCAATAACGCTAACGGCAGCTACCACGCTTTCAATATCGCCATTTTGTCCATTAATATATTCTCCATAACACTGTGAAAGATCGTATACAGCACTATATCCAGTTTCGATAAGATGGCGGTCTAAGAGCTCCGGGTCAGCAAGCAATTTTGTAGGAACGAGTGCGGTGCCAAATGGAGCAGCTTGTAAGGCTGCAGCTGGGTCCGCAGGTCTTGCAACTAGCAAGCGGACGGTGGGTCCAGCCTGACGTAAGACAGCAGCCACCTGTTCTGATGTAAAACCTCGCAAGTTTACAGATCCCACTTGCAGTACATGATCACCGCTTTGAAGACGTCCATCCTTGTCCGCGATACCGCCCGGCAACACATACTTTATAACAACACCAGTGCTCCTTCCGCCAACTAAATTGAAGCCCAATCCGTTTCCATCGTTCGTGAGCTCAACCACTTCAACTTGTGCCCACTCCGTGCTCAAAACCATCGTCTTCTTGACCATCGGGAACCATCCAATGTTACGTTACGCAAACGATTAGGTTATAACCGAACCTCCGCAACATCGCGTAAATGAGATCTAAACCTCTGAATAATATACAAATAGCTTATAAGTTGTTATCACAGTACCGATTTAGTTAAATGTATTAAAATTAAATAAAAAAATGACATTTACATACTTGCTGAATCGAAGACAGCGAGAATGTTGCTAGTTGACAGCTCCCTTATCCCTATGACAGCTCTTGACACTTTAGTGTTGCAACTTGCAAGCACCTTTGCAAAGTGCTACCAAAATTTTCTCCCATTGTTTTGTTAAATAAGCTTTTCTGTCGTGTTTGTCAAATGCAGTATTAATAATTCCATTAGCGTCAAAAAATAAGAAAAAGTTATTTAATTAGTGGGAAAATCAAGCTGAATTAGTAAAACAAAATTAATAAAATACAATATATATTTACATTAATTAGTGTCCAACGACATCTGTTGGATAGTTATCACATTGCTATAAATACCGCTTGGCGCTTGCCTATTTCAACAACAAATTTTAGTTTTCGTAAAGAAAAACCAAAGGGCGTTACTGAGCAATTTAAAAAATTAAATAATTTTTACCGACTTCTTATATTATACAAACTTATATTAACCAATTCACAAAGTTTAAATAAAATTGTCTTTTTATCGTTATGATTATTTACAATCATATTAAATTGTTAAAGGTATTCTTAAGTTCTTTAACGGAAATAGGTACCTGAGAGCAATTAATTACATAACTCGAGTTCAAAATCAAAATAACTTTATGTTTAACAGTTGGTGTAACTCGTAATTTAGATTATTGGTTACATTTTCGTCTATAGAATTATTGATTATAAGAATCCTTTGGATAAACTAGACTCCACTTAGCAAGGACAAGATGTCATGATGAAATTAAAATTTCCCATCTACAGTATTTGAAAACCATTGAAAATTATAATAAAAAAAAAAGCCTTTTGGTCATACGTCTCTTCTAGGAGGAAATCCAAAGGTTGACAAGCATTACTCGAGGAACTGTTCTTAAAAGTTAACAATTGTCGCAACCCAGTTGACGTTTGCATTGTCTTTATTGACAATTTCTCTTCCATATATAATGATTCTTTTTGCAATAATCCCATCATAACTTCCCCGTATGAAGAATATATTTATTATCATCTCCGAATACATTTAGTCATTTCAAATTAATCAGGGATAGCAGCTTTAAAACAGCTTAATCCACCATGACCAATCTTTGTTGATGAAGTTTGTCAAGAAACTGATTTTATTTATATGAACTTCCGCAAGACGTTCGACAGAGTTGACCATTAACTGCTTGTTTACCAGATTTGGAATGTTCCGTAAAATGTAAAGGTGGTTTTCAAGTAACCCTAGCGAAATATCTTTTGCTATGTTTGGTGTACTTCAGGGCTTGTACGTGGGGCCTCTGTTATTTATTTAATTCGTAAATAAATTAGCCAAATGTTTTCATACCTCTACGAACTATATGCTGATGAATTCAATATTTATGAAACAATTAAAGGTACCGGCGACACTAATCTCGTGCTGGAAGATCTTAATCGCATTTTTATGGAGCATAAACCTTTTATATACAAGTTCATAAACCTTTAAAGAAAGCGTTTACCAAAATGTAATAATTCTTCTTACGTTGTAAATGATCATTATCTGGGAGAGGTAACCGCGGTGCGGGATTTAGGAGTCATCATTGACAGCAAGTGTTTAACATCAAATGTTTTCTATTACACATTTTATTACACATTGAAAATTGGAACAATAATAATTGGAATATTGAAGATATTGATAGAAGAAGAATAACCGAAACGAGTCAGTAAAACACTAAACAACTTTTTCTATTAGCAGTCCACAGAAACATTTAAATCTCCTTTATTGATACCATAGACTAAAATACTTTATAATAAAGAGACGAGCATCGAAGGTGTGTGTTGCATTTCTTTAGGCTATAACAGCATGACTTCCTCAGCAATTATGTTGAGAGCACAACGGACTTTAAGTCTCCGGAGCGGACTGCACCGTACAAGACCTGGGTGCCTAGCCATATTGGTGTCGAAAAGTATTCTACATACACTACCGCTTTTGCGTAATTGTATTGTCGAAAACGCTTCGTTCGTAGCCAAGAGACATGTCGATACATTACCGCAAAGTCGACAGCGTAGATGCGAGCTGCTGTTCGTAGCACCTTATTCCGTCATATTGTCTCTGGATTAAATGTATTCCTAATGTCACTTTTATAAACAAATAAAAGTTAAAACTTTACAATATTATTGTAAATTTGCAATTGGAAGCTACAAAAGGGACATTAGAATGTCAGCAAGGTCGGAACAATTTTCGATTTAAGTGGAATTTACGGAAGGTGCAAAGTGAATATATGAATTTTAATTGCATGTTTAAATTAATTATGGTTTGTTTCATGTTTTCTCAGAAATTTAAGGCTACAAATAAATACAATATTTTGAAATTGCATAATCGCGATATATAATAATTAGTAGTACTCATACTTTGATATTTTTAGGATTTGACCTCACAACTAATCTACAAAATGAAGAAGCAACATATTTTGTTACCGCTTAGAAGAAACAATAAAAATAGTACTGTGGATTGATAAATAAAGAGTGAAAATAAGGTTGACTAGAAGTTGATAAAGTCCAAGGAATTAAAAAACAATAGAAAAAAAACGTAGACTAGTGTGAACACTGAAATTAGAGTTTGATTTAAGCTTTAATTAGGTTTGGTGTTTGTGCTTGAACATTTTTAATGTCAATTTGAAAGCAGATTTATATATAAGTGTAGATTTTATTAGTGATTTGCTACAAGTTGGAATTATCTCTGTTTATGTCCAACAAACAATTTCAGTTTAAGTTAGAGTCATAAAAGTTGATTGTTTATAATATATTTATACTTTTAGAAAGTGAGAATTGAAAAACAGCAAGTACTCAATGAAATGAAAAGAGGAATTAATAAAAATTATAAAATAGAAACTTAGTCTGGTATGAAATTATAACCCTTAATCAACCTTTGATTCCATATTGATGCTCCAACATCTTAGATATAAATTTAAGTTTGATGCTGATTTTAAGTTAATATTTATGTCAATTAACTTTTGGTTATATCAGTGATTTGCTACTAGTTAATATGTAAATGCAAAAGCTGTTTAAGTAAGAAATGAATAAACATTGTATGTTATGTATTTGTCAGTTTTATTTTTGGTAATTTACCTATGTCTTCTTTAGTAGGAAAAGCCATTAAAGTGGTTCACAATATTAGTTTATTTTACAAGAATATACAGATAATGCATATATGAATTACCCATACCTACTAATAGTTAGGAATATTAAACAAACAGGTAGCAAAATAAAAATGTTTCAGTTATGGTTATTTTTTATTAAAATAAGGCACCAAATATCTTCTTTAACATAATGCAGTCTACATAGAAAAATAAGCATATGTAACAACTTATTAAACAATACAGACATTACTACTGAACACACGCAGGTGCACCAAATTAAATGCATTACTACCTAATGATGTATTCATATATGTAGATAATTAACTAATGTAAGTGTTAATTTGCAGCAATGTCAATATCTTGTTTGTGTGCTGTTATATACAAAAAATTGTTCAATTCATAAAACCTAACGTTAGATGTTGTGATGATTTCATAAAATTACTATGATACCTACAGTTACTATGAATACATCCTGGGCGATTAAAAAAATAGTGATTGTTTCCTTAACACAACAATTGTAAATAATAATAGTTATTGTAAAGATATAATTCTTCCCAAAATCTACAAATGCAGTTTGTTTATAATAATATCTCATTAACATTCAAACTGCTGAACTTATTAAGATTAAATGTGGAAAAACATAGTTTCAGTTTCTGTTTCCTGTTCTTGAGGTAATGTTACTTAACCAACCATTATTTCATACTCCACTTGTCTTATTTTTTACATTATTCATAAAATGCTTCGTTCCCCATTATCAAATTCATTTTCAGGTACATAATATAACACTTTAATTAATTAAAAGATAAGACTTTAATAAAACTTGTCCATTTGTGGTTTTTTTTAATACTTTTAGTTGTCTTTTTCTGAAAATAAAATATTTTAGTTAGTACTTTGATCAATAGGTAACTTTAATATTAAAAGTCTTTACTTCATTCTAAACTTAAAAATATACTTAATTTGTCACTTTGCTGCTTATTGTCAATTAAAGTTTTTAATAACCAAACAATGTCAGTAACTCCCAAAGGACTTGAATTAAAACTTCTCATTCATTAACAATATTATAATAACTTCTCTAGTATATTAACTTAGTAAATAATTAAAGAAAATATCTGCTTACCATTAAGTACTTAGTATTGCTCACTATATTTTATATTTCCAAAGTTCATGAAGTAAAAATCCACTTTATTTGATTAATTTAAATCAATATTATATCATTAGCTTCTATTATAATTACAATAAAATATATTTAGAACTTCTAATAATGTTCATTAGTGACTGCTTTCTCATCTGAAATATACAAATAATATGTACAATCATTTTACTTTGTGATTACATAATATAAGCAATATTAAATGGTATATGTATTTTTCAAATTAAAGAAAAATTTCATGAACTTACATGCAATATAAATATCAATAAAAGATATCCAATATAAAAGGATTTACCTCTACTAATTTGCTGATTTTCTTGATATTTTCATATTTATCTGTGTCTATTATGTTATCCTCGCATTGATTCAGGGTTGGGTGTTAAATACCACCGCACTTTTTTGACGATACTAATTATCTAGGAGTGTCCGGGGACCTTCATTGGAACACCTCCAAGTGAGTTTTGCTCCGGAAACGCGTCTAAATATTTTTATAAAAAAATTAAAGTTTTGTGTAATGTATTAAAATTTGTAAACAATCCGCCATTTTCTACTTTTCTATTGGTTATAAGTGATGTGACGTTCACTTAAA